CAATACCAGAAAAAAACAAACTATCAACCACCCAGGCTCTTTTAATGGCCTCCATGTACGTCTGGCTTGTCTCACGCAACATGGCTGACAATCCGCCATGTTTTTTTTTCTTCTTATCTTGCCTGCCCCTGATTGCCCCTTGGGGGTGCCCCGTCTCCGCCTCCCGTTTCCGCCGGGTCGCTCGGGTGAGAGCCGTAGATGAGCAAGCCGTTTGTATCACCTGGCACCGCTCACATCACATCTCATCTGTCCGTCCTGAGTTCATTCACATCCAGAATGTCATGTCAGCGTTCTGGGCCGGGGGTCCCGGTCCAGGAGGCTGGCTGCCAGGGAGTCGCGTGGAACTGGTTGGCGCTGTCAATCAACTTTTACTATCTTAATAGTCAATGTTGCTTGACAGTGCCAACCACACCGTTATGGAGCGGAAAGTTTCCGCAGCTTCAATGATTCAGACTGGGCAAGGCCATCGTTTCACTGCCGTGTTGAAGTCAGTGTGGCCATAGCAGCAGCTTAACAGCGTGGCAAAAAATGGAAATGTTTTTGTCAGTGGTTAAATTGTATGAGGACATGGGGGCAGACATTTTGTCGACATTGAGCAGACATATTATTTTTCCTTTCTCCCTGACCCTGGGCAGCGCAGGCAACTTAACACACTGCTGGCCACAGCATCAAAGGCCCGCAAGTGAGACAGTTACTCTTTGATTTGACCAAGTGATTGATGTACTGCTGAGCACTGACAGGTAAGTCGTTGCAGTTGCAGTGTGTAAATGGACAGGCCAGATTCCTTTCATCAAGGCATCGTTGCGGATCTGGAGCTGGCTCATACCTGCAAGCTCGTAGACAGAGCAAACAATAATAAGACACGCGCCACAGCGTGACAGAAGCTGCAGCAAACATCCCACAACACCAATCGTTGACACCCCAAACAAAAACATACATATCAGAGCATTTTTCAAAGACAATCACAACACTGATAAGAGATCAACTCAAGAGACCTTCAAGGGACGCCCAACACCCTCATCATCTCACACCGGTTATTTTCCAAATCATACATCCTGACATAGTTAAAACACATGGCGTTGGTGAGTCAATTGCAATCGATCAAATTTGATTGAATAATTTAATGGAACCTAGCAAGGCGACTGGCGCTTGAGCTGCAGTCAAAGGTGAGGGGCTAGCGCTTGAGCTGCAGTCTTCCCTTAAATCATGTTTAGGGTCCACAAATCCAATTGTCAATGTCACAGTTTAGAAAAATAGTATGTTGCGACCCTTTCAGATTGATTCTAATAGGGCCCGGATGCAATCAATGACATTCTTTTCTTGTAGAAACTCGAGCTTTTTGAAGCATGATGGCGTTTGGAGCATTTGGTATTTAGTGACGACTAGGAAGCTGCTGTGCCGGACGCCAAATTCGCGCTGTTTCTTCATTTGGTATGTGTGCAATGCCAGAACAAATACCGCTTGACAGAGAAGTAAATTCCTTAATGAGCAAATTGGGCTTGCAGAAAACCATCACTGCCCGCAGTACTGGCAGGGAGTACACTCTGACGTATCTTATTTATGGTTTATCAAAGCTCCTTTCACCTTCTCATTTTTTTGTGCTGGTGTGCTATATTTCAACGGTTTTTTTTATGTTTCAAACTGAAGCCTCAGTTCAAACATCGATCACAGTCACAGTGTGTTTTTTTCTGCTGCTCACAGAGCCGTCGACCCAGGAAGCAGGAATGTTGGAGTGTTGTTCAGTCTGAACTGAAGTCTCAGAGCGAGTTTACTCGGAACAGGTACAAATTGAAAGAGCTGGATGGCAAGTTAACATCAAGAGCATGTTTTTTCTATCTCAATACCAATGTTGACCTGGAAGGGACCTCGTGGCTGCCCAATATTTTTGAATTGAATCTTGCGGCAGCTTGCAATGTCTTTGATGCGGTCCATGTCCTATGCTACCAGCCCTTGAATTGGAACTTCATTTCCCCTGGCAAATATGACAAGAAAATGTTTCTTCTCGATGCGCGGCAATATTTGCCAGCTGCTGAATGCCAGAAGCTTCTGGATAAAGGTTGGAGGGTGCAGCACATTGCGGACTATGTGCGGCTGCGTGCCATATTTACCACGGGAGGCTGGTTTTGCGACCTGGATCAGCTTTGGCTGAATTTAGACAGACTCAGAAGGTCCCCAAATGCGTTTGGGCATTTGGGATCCAGCGTCAAGGTTGCCAAATTCCGTGGGGAAAAGAAGTCTTGGCTGATCAAGTATCTGAGGAAGCAATCTGAAGAAATATTCTTTTCTGTTCCTCTTCATTTTCCTGCTCAGTCCTTTCTCCTTGATGCTTCACACAGCTTAGGTTTGTCTATTATTTTTTTGGGGGAGGGCTGGCCCATGGCTGCCTTGAAACTTTGACATTGCAATTCAATAAATGTGGCTCAGTTTCATGTATGGGAATATGCATAAACACAAAAACTGAATCATATATATCCAATCTTCAATTCGGATATTTGTTCATTGGATTGGCAGTTTTCTTGAACATGTTTCTTTGTTATTTCGACTTTCTAAGGAGGAAATCCTCATCTGGTTCACGGATCGATTGGCCGGTGACCCACCTAAACCCACTGCCTACAACGCGCCTTGACTCATTGACTTTAGCTTCAATAGCTAGTTGGTATCAGTGGGAGCATTTGAGTGGCAGCAAATCACACCATTATTTGTGAACGGATGTCCACTTCCATGCGGCCAGGAAGTCATGGACCGAGTCGAAAAGACGTTTCGCAAGTATGGCCTCCATCGGTATTGCTACCAAGATCCCAAAATTTGTTGCCCAATATCTTTGCATGAGCCCCTCAGCAGCAACAAAAATTCACACAGAGGACATTATTATGTCTGAGTCTTGATTGTCTGTCCGAAGTCAATGGTTTGCATTGCAAGGTTTCGGCACTGTTCTGAGTGTTGCACTTGGGTTTCTCAGGTCGGTATCACCATTGAAAGCACACCCCCGACTGGACAAGTTACTGAATAACATCAAGGATAATTCTGCCTGCGTCAATGGCTTTTGGGCTTCAACGAAATTCAAGAACGACCCTGCACGCCACATGTTTTTCGTGGCAGACCTTGCGAATCTGGAGGAGCAGAGCTTGCAACTTGTTCTTTTTGGGGGGGTTACTTGAAACCAGACATTTTGCCCATATTTTTTTTGGTTGCCATTATTATTATAGTGACAGTGACAACAATATTGCAGTTTTACGTTCATCATGCACCTTCAAGTTCTTTAAAGTTCCACGCCGCCATGAAGAGCAGTAGTGAGGTATGCCAAGTTGTTGGTCCATGTGGGGGTGGATCCGTTTCACAGACAAAGACATCAAGGAAAAAAACCAGGGAAGCGGTCACCCCCTCTTTGTCATGAACCGTCGCGCGTTGACGACGTGTCTGAGTGCAAAGCAGCCAAGACTGTTGAAGACCAACAACGGCTTGCAAGAGGGGATGCTGAGCACCAGTATCAGCACGAGGCCTGGACAAACACTTTGAGGATGTGGGCATTTTGTTTGTTTCTTTGTCATGCATGTTATTATGGTGGTTATGGGGCAAATTTCACTTAAGCAGAGGCAAGACACATCTCATGTGATTCACCCACTCCAGGATCTCCTGCAGAGAGACCTGCGTCATTTGAGCAGTGATGATAATCCAATTTTGCCAGGGACTTTGAGGTTCGACACAAAAAAGTACATGCATGCAGCGGCTGGGCGAATGGTCTCAGCAGGGTCGCACGAACCGACTATTTTGCATAGTTTGGCCTTTGGAGTGCAAGCGCTCCTCCAGGTTAAGGAGGCGTCTTTGCTTGCCCTTCCTGACGTGCAGCAAATGAAACGTAGATATGCATCCGAGATGCTGGGTCTGGTTTTGCTGAGGATGGGTCGAAAGTTGCATGGCAGCAGTCATGATGTGGAAAGCATGCCCTTCGAGTTGGACGTGATGAAAATGAGCGCTTCTGACAGGAATCATGTTAATAGAATAGAAATGCACATTGTACAGCTTTGGGGGAGTATGTGACTTTGCGTCTTATCACATTTCTTTGACAGACTTGTTTTGGGGACTTGCGCATTGGCTGCAGTCCAGAATTTACAGGGACTTGCGCATTAGATGCAGTCCAGACAGAAATCCAAATGTAATGATGGCACGGCCAACCAGCTGCGGAGTGACAGGCCCAGGTCCTAAAAAAGGCAGATTGGACAAATTGACTGTTTTGAGCGCTTTTTGCTAGAAACAAGATGGATTCAATAGATTGCAACGGGCCAACTTGCAGTGCATTGCAGAAATCAAAGTGGTTCGGCGAGACCTGTTGCTCCCAGCGCTGATGCCCATTCAGCTCCTACAACATTACTTAGTGGCATAGAACGATGGAACCAAAGAGCCAGAGTGGGTGTCCAGATGGTTCCATCAGACTGGACCGGTCATCAAACGGAAGACAACCATGTTATATGTGGTGATCTGATGATAAAGATACTTGACTGCGAGATGGCTGCATTGACCAAGTTAAAGCATGAAGCGCAATTGGATCAATGTACTGTACTGTATATTCACTCAAACATATTTTTTTGGGAATGAAAATAGATGGCGGGGCATAAGTTCAACATGGACTGCATATAATCACGTCATTTTTACCAGCGCAAAAACGAAGTCACCAGAAACCACGGGGCTAAGACTCTAATCTAATTAGAATATGAGCATGTGTTTAGCTCACCCCCACGCTTCCCCCAGAACAATGCAAGGAAGCACACACGCAATGTACAGCACCAAGGAATTTGAATACATCATGTTGTGCAAGTGATGTTTCCTGCCAAACGGGGAATTGCGCTTACCCCCCCTTCTGGTGCGCCGACCTGCCACAGCGGGAAGGTCCCAGTTGGGTTGTGCCCATGTTGATGGAAGCGCTACCCCACCACAATATGTGGCAGTCACTTGGCAATGGCTGTCACTGTGGAGTTTGGCTACATTGTACCTGGTATGCATACATGGCTTCGGGTTGTCCCGCGCTTGCCTCCTGGGATGATCGCGTGGTCCTGCACCAGACATTCCCTGACCAAATTGGCATTGCCTCTTCTTGTCTGCTCCCACAAGTGGACTCCAGTTCTTTCAATGCCAATTACCCCGGTTTGCCGTCGGGGCAGGGATAATGGGAGGCTCATCGTTCTCGCACATGTTTGATGGGTACGGGGAGCAATAAATTAAAAACGCCCTCACCGGTGCCATGAAGGAGGGCGCGTGCTCTATGCCTTGCCCACGGCACAGCAGGCCTCCCGTGTGCGGGCGAAGCATCTAGAGGCAGACGTTGACACCTGTTCCGGCGCCTTCTTCCTCTACCGGGATGCCATGGAAGTGATGGACTGCTTGACGCAGTACGACATGGTGGCCGTGGACGAGATCTCCCAGCTGTCGCAGTCCGACTTTGAGCGCATCATCCAGATGTGGGAGACGGCCGACAAGGTGCCGGCCCTGGTCTTTGCGGGCGACTTCTGGCAGTTGCCCGGCATCGGCAAGAAGGGCGAGGAGCCCACCAAGGCTACGGACAGCCCACGCTGGAGCATGGTTTACCAAATCGACTTGCATCAGATGTGGCGTTGCAAGGACAACGTCCTGAAGGAGAAGCTGCAGCTCTTGCGCACCGCCAAGCCCAGCAGGTCCCAGTTGACGAACATATGCCGCGGTCACAAGGCTTGGTCCGGCCATCACGAGCCGACGGCCTGGGACCTGCAGCAGCTTTACCGGAGCCATCCCCACACGACCATCGCCACCTGCACCCGCTGGGCAGCAGCCAAAGTGAACGACTTGGCCATCTTCGTGCTCTACGCCACCCGCAAGAAGCGCAAGCTGGAAACCGTGCCGGTTGACTGGGAAGCCAACCCTGACAACTACGACCAGGACATGTGGACGGGGCGTCTTCGCAAGTAAGAATACGTATAAATATTATTCTTTTTTTCTGTGCTCGGTAGTTGCGTTATTCCTTTGCTTCCTTTCTTTCTTCACCCTTATTTTAGCTGTTTAAGGGATTCTTTCGACGATGTTGTTTTTCTTGCCCCCCCCTGCAGGACAACAAGAACCAGCTGATCACGGGCACGCCGCCAAAGGCATTGGAGATGCCGCTCTACAAGGGCATGCGGCTGCACATCACGCGCAATGTCAACAAGGAGGCCGACTTCATTAACGGGATGGAGGCAACCGTCGAGGCCTATGATGCAGCATCCAAGTGCATCCATGCTGTGACGAAGACTGGGCGCCACCTCGCTATCTATCCCTTGACGGACTACGTGGAGGACTGCGGCTACGTCACTGCCTATCCCTTGCGCCCAGGCTATGCCAGCACCGTGCACAAGCTGCAGGGCGCAGAGCTGGAGCACATCACCATCTGGCTGGACCGCCGAGGCGCCAAGGCCGCCGCCTACGTGGCCATGAGCCGGGTGCAGCACGACACGGACTATCTCCTTGGTGGCAAGCTGCATCGCGATCACTTCACCCCGGCCATGTGAGAGCTGCACTCGTGTGATTTATGCACCTTGTACCGTTAGTGTAACTTTAGGGGTCGTGTAGGGCAGGTCAAGCTGCACAGGGCCAAGCCCTACAAAGGGGAGTTTGCAGCCAAGCGCATGGGCAAGGACCCGTTGCACAGCTTTGCCTTGAGATTTGTCTGCAGAAGTGGTGGGGCCAAAACAGGCTTGGTGCTCTTGGGCCTTACATGCAACATGCAACTTGTGCCAGAGAGAAATTTTTCAATGCAGGTGTAAGGGATGGTTTGCTTCTTCGGTATGATGGCATCTTCCTTTCAGTGAATTCGCAGGTTCATGGACAGTTGCAACTTGCGACGTGGGCATTGATGTCTTGTTCATATGGCATGTCTTTTTCGTAGGCTATGTTGTGTGATGCTTCTTGTACCGATGATATTATTGTATACATATACATTGTTTTTGCCTTTGGGTTTCATGTGATTGTACGGTTATGATAACTGCACTGTTGTACTTACATCACCGAGTTTTGCTGCTTCCCCGCTCTTTGTCTCACAGCTGGCTCAAACAACTGTGGCCAAGTGGCTGAAGCACGTGAAAGCTACAAAGCAAGTTAGGAAAAAGGGGGCCCCCGCCAGGTTGGCCCCCGCCAGGTTGGCCCCCGCCAGGTTGGCCCCCGCCAAGGTGTTTGGCCCCCGCCAGGTATGTCTGGCCCCCGCCAGGCAAAAGCAAAAAAAAGACTTTAGGACACTAAACCCTAAAAAAGTATATTCCGGGTGGCCTGGGGTGGGATGACCGCGCCGCGCGGTGCGAAGCGCAGATGATGAGAGGGTGGGCGTGCAAGCCTTCATCAATAGCCCACCCGATAGAGAGCGCAAGCAACCAATAACGTAGGCACACCCTAAACCCTAAACCCTAAATTCCCACCCAGGCCGTCTTGGCCGCACCCACCCTAAACAGGGTGGCCGGCACCCCGAACACACCCGGCAGTGAGATACACCAAGGCTGGGCAGGACAGAGGGAGGAGCCTCAGGAGAGTGGTCTGTTAAGGCCCCTCGGGCCTTGCACGGCATCTGCAAGAACAGGGCTTGGCCCCAATAGGCGGCGTTAAGCCGCGCTCACATAAACTGTGTGTCCACAACACCTTCCTGCCTAGGAAGGTCAATACCCTAAACCCTAGGGGGGAAAGCCCTCCACGGGCAAGCCCTCCACGGGCAAGCCAAGCCAAGCCCAAAAAAGGCCGTTTTAAAGCTTATTTAGTCTGTAGGGCTTGTTTTTGGGTAAGGGTCCCCCCTTTCGGCTGGAGCTGGTTTGGCAAATTTTGGGCCCAGAAGGCTCCCAAAGGCTCCCAGAGGCTCCCAGAAGGCTCTCAGAAGGTTCCTGGCCGGGATTTGGCCCAAAACGGCCGTTTCCCAAGGATCCCAGAAGGGGAGTTTAATAGCCGGCCGAAGGGCCTCCAAATGGCAGAAATTTGCCTCCAAAAGGCTCCTGGCCAGGATTTGGGCTCCCAGGAGGCTCCCAGAGGCTCCCAGAAGGCTCCCAGAAGGCTCCCAGAAGGCTCCCAAAGGCTCCCAGAGGCTCCCAGAAGGCTCTCAAAAGGCTCCCGGCCAGGATTTGGCCCAAAACGGCCGTTTCCCAAGGATCCCAGAAGGGGAGTTTAATAGCCGGCCGAAGGGCCTCCAAATGGCAGAAATTTGCCTCCAAAAGGCTCCTGGCCAGGATTTGGGCTCCCAGGAGGCTCCCAGAGGCTCCCAGAATGCTCCCAGAAGGTTCCCAAAGGCTCCCAGAGGCTCCCAGAAGGCTCTCAAAAGGCTCCCGGCCAGGATTTGGCCCAAAACGGCCGTTTCCCAAGGATCCCAGAAGGGATGTTTGATAGCCAGCCGAAGGGCCTCCAAATGGCAGAAATTTGCCTCCAAAAGGCTCCTGGCCAGGATTTGGGCTCCCAGAAGGCTCCCAGAAAGCTCCCAAAGGCTCCCAGAGGCTCCCAGACGGCTCTCAAAAGGCTCCCGGCCAGGATTTGGCCCAAAACGGCCGTTTCCCAAGGATCCCAGAAGGGGAGTTTGATAGCCGGCCGAAGGGCCTCCAAATGGCAGAAATTTGCCTCCAAAAGGCTCCTGGCCAGGATTTGGGCTCCCAGGAGGCTCCCAGAGGCTCCCAGAAGGCTCCCAGAAGGCTCCCAAAGGCTCCCAGAGGCTCCCAGACGGCTCTCAAAAGGCTCCCGGCCAGGATTTGGCCCAAAACGGCCGTTTCCCAAGGATCCCAGAAGGGGAGTTTAATAGCCGGCCGAAGGGCCTCCAAATTGCAGAAATTTGCCTCCAAAAGGCTCCTGGCCAGGATTTGGGCTCCCAGGAGGCTCCCAGAGGCTCCCAGAGGCTCCCAGAAGGCTCCCAGAAGGCTCCCCGGCCAGGATTTGGCCCGAAGGGGCCGTTTCCCAATGGTCCCAGAAGCGAAATTCAATAGCCGGCCCAAGGGCTTTGAAAAGGCAGAAAGCTGCTGGGATTTTATTTGCCGGCCCAAAGGCCCTCAAATGGCAGAAATTTGTCTCCAAAAGGCTCCTGGCCAGGATTTGGGCTCCCAGGAGGCTCCCAGAAGGCTCCCAGAAGGCTCCCCGGCCAGGATTTGGCCCGAAGGGGCCGTTTCCCAATGGTCCCAGAAGCGAAATTCAATAGCCGGCCCAAGGGCTTTGAAAAGGCAGAAAGCTGCTGGGATTTTATTTGCCGGCCCAAAGGCCCTCAAATGGCAGAAATTTGTCTCCAAAAGGCTCCTGGCCAGGATTTGGCCCAAAAGGGTGGGAATTTTAGGGCTTGCCCTAAACCCTAAAAGGTGGACGGTAGGGTGGCTTGCCTCCAAAGCTGGAGAGGGGTGGGAAAATAAGAAAGGGTTACCGCGCACCCAGCGGCCCAACAACAACATCTATCAAAAACAGCTCCGCTCATAAGCCGCCGCCTTCACACCTTTTAGGTGTGCGGCGGCGCAAACCACTGCGTGGGAAGAACCCCCTGCCACGGGGCGGAGACGCCCTAAACCCTAAACCCTAAATTTTAGGAGCCTTGCGGCACTTGGGCGCCAACACAGGTTGCTGTTTAAGTTTTATGTTGTGCTTCGCTTAAGTTGTATTGTATTTAGATTTCGTGTTTAAAGTAAATTGATAATTCTGCAGTGAAGTTGTGCTTCAGTTGTAAAAATTGTAAATAAGGCAGAATTTAAATCTACTCTAAACCTAATCTAAATCTATTCTAAATCTAATCTAAACATCATCCAAATCTAATCTAAATTTAATCTAAATCTACCCCAAATCTGTACCAGTTCACTTTTGCGGCCTTCATGCAGAAGACGGCCTTGCATGTTAATTTGGAAATTCAGCTTGCGTTGCATTGAACATGTTAAACGACCTGGCGAAAGCCTCGAAGGCGTTGGACGGAAAAAAATCCTTTTGTTTTTTTCTTCTGCTTCTCTTTCTTCTCTTCTTCTTCTCTCCTTCTGGCTCCTTCATTCTGCTCCTTGTCGTCTCTCTTTGTTCTTCTTGTTCCTCCTTGCTCTCCTTGTTAAGGGTGCTTCTTCTACTTTCGTCCTTGCGCTCTCCTTGACCTCTTGGACTCTCTGGACCTTTGGACCTCTGCACCCTTGACCGTCTTTCATTCTGACCTTGGACCCTTGAACTCTTGAACTCTGCGCCCTTGAACCCTTCAATCCTCGGAACTTCGGCACCTCGGAGTCTTGGACCCTTCGACTCTTGAACTTTTGAACTTCCTCTTTTTGATGCGAAAATAATGCATGTGGGAGCGGACCCAGGAAGGATGTTGGCTCGAGAAGGGCTCGGCTCAAAACATGTCATGGCATGATTTAACACGAGCCCGCATCGTTTTCTAAGGGCCTAGAGGCTGTTTTCAAGTTGGGGCATGGAGGCCGTACTTGAGTTTGGACCTGCGCGCGCTGACGTCGGGGCATGGGGCCTGTGCTTAAGTTGGGGTCTGGCGGCGTTTAGGTTGGTGCCCCGGGCGAACGTAAGTTTGGTGATTTGTGCTTGCTTTATATAACTTAAGTTTGCGGCCGGCGAAGTTTAAGTTGGTGCGAACTTAAGTTTGGGCGGTTTTTGCTTAAGTTTGGGCCTGGCCTTAAGTTGGGCCCTGGCGGTGCTTAAGCTGGTGCCCTGGGCAAATTTAAGTTTGGGCTGTTTGTGCTTAAGTTTGGGCCTGGCGGTAACTTAAGTTGGGAACTGGCGGTGCTTGAGCTGGGGCCCTGGGCGAACTTAAGTTTGGGCGGTTTTTGCTTAAGTTTGGGCGGTTTATGCTGCACGGTAGAAGACGCCTGGTCAAAAAAGGCACCTGGTGGTCTTGGGGTTTCGGGAGGCCCCTGGTCAAAAAGGGCCTCTGGTGGTTTTGGGGTTTGCGGGGCGGTCCTCCAAGGGGCACCTGGTCAAAAGGGCCCCTGGTGGTTTTGGAGGCTAGGGCGCGCCCCCTGCTCAAAAAGGGCCCCTGGTGGTTTTCGGGTTTGAAGGGCGGTCCTACAAAAGGCACCTGGCTAAAAACGGCCCCTGGTGGTTTTGGAGCGTAGGGCGCGGGGTCCTCCAAGAGGCTCCTGGTCAAAAAGGGCCCCTGGTGGTTTTGGAGCGTAGGGCGCGGGGTCCTCCAAGAGGTCCTTGGTCAAAAAAGGCCCCTGATCGTTTTGGTGTTTGGGGGGCGGTCCTCCAAGGGGCCCTGGTCAAAAGGCCCCCTGGTGGTTTGGAGGCTACGGCGCGCCGCCTGCTCAAAAAGGGCCCCTGGTGGTTTTGGGGTTTGAAGGGCGGTTCTACTCAAAAAGGGCCCCTGGTGGTTTTGGAGCGTAGGGCGCGGGGTCCTCCAAGAGGCCCCTGGTCAAAAAGGGCCCCTGGTGGTTTTGGAGCGTAGGGCGCGGGGTCCTCCAAGAGGCCCCTGGGCAAAAAGGGCCCCTGGTGGTTTTGGAGCGTAGGGCGCGGGGTCCTCCAAGAGACCCCTGGTCAAAAAGGGCCCCTTGTGGTTTTGGAGCGTAGGGCGCGGGGTCCTGCAAGAGGCCCTTGGTCAAAAAAGGCCCCTGATCGTTTTGGGGTTTGGGGGGCGGTCCTCCAAGGGGCCCTGGTCAAAAGGGTTCCTGGTGGTTTGGAGGCTACGGCGCGCCGCCTGCTCAAAAAGGGCCCCTGGTGGTTTTGGGGTTTGAAGGGCGGTGCTACAAAAGGCTGGTCAAAAAGGGCCCCTG